TTCAAGTCATATTCAACATTACTTTCAAATACAATTACAAAAATCCATTACACCAAAAATGTCACAATACATGTTTAGTACCTATTAATTACATTACCAAGTCTGTAAGTTCAAAGAATCATACACCATTTCAAAATTACAAAGGAACGTTACAAGAGTTCAAGTATTGTTACATCCTAAGAAAGTTTTTTTGACCAAGTCTTCTCATACTATACATTCCATTTCCGATTCAAAATTTCATCATCAAGTGAACGAGACCTTTCTTCTTCATTTAACCTTTCCCTCTGAGTTTGTCATTCTTGCCTTCAACAACTATGGTTGTCGCTAAGAAATTCGAGGAAGCTGAAATCACCAATAATTCACTTGCATATCATGAAGCCAGCATAAATATGTCCTCAAGCTTTCATGTGTCCAAATCCAAGCCTTCTACACATGATTGCATCCCTGCAAAATTATCATAAAAATAGTTGATAATTGTTGTGATTTAACCCCCAAAATCAGTTCCATTCATAAAACCAATTTCACTTTTAAAAAAAGCATAAAAAGAAATCAGGAAAGGGTGGAAACCGTGGGAAAGGGGAGGGGCCAAATCAAAATTGAATCAGTTATAGCCTAACAGAATTCCTAATCTCCAACAGTTCATAACTTCCTTAACCATTTTCTATTTTTTTAAAAACAGCTTTTTAAACAACTTCTAACAGATTCCCATATTTCTTAACCACCTCCATAACAGAATTCAAAAACTTCCTCTAACCATTTTTATAGCTGTCAAAAACAGAAATTCCAACTGTCTATAACAGTTTTGTAAAACAGAAGAGGGAGAAAAGGAATTTCTTCCACGATTCATTTCAGAAATACATAAAAACTATATAACCAGAATATAACAGGAAAAGAAAAAAAACTGTGGAAAAAAATCAGAAGAGAAACTCATATCAAATCTACACCGTTCATTTAGTGTAACAAACTCTGATATCCATGGCTCAGATTTTCCAATTCTAACGGAATTTTCACAAAACTTCTAACATAAGCATATAACAGAAAGAGAAAGGGAGAGGAAAATCAGTTACAAGAAACTCACCAGAAACTCTCTCTACTCTAGAGGCTCTGCAAAACTCTTCAATCATCTTCATCTTTCAACATCTTCATCATTCTCCGATTCACATCATTTTCAATATTCATACACCACAACCTCCATTTTCTTGAACCTTCATTCTGAAATCACAGAAGGACCAGAAGAAAAAACCAGAAAAGACTCCATAGAAAATTCTTCGAATCTCTCTCAATTCTATCTACTTTCTCTTCATACCTTCATCTCTGCAACCAATTTGCATCACCTTCATTTTTCAACACCTTCATGCTTCAGCATCCTACACCACCACCATCATCACACTGCTGCATCCGATTAGTCGTTCAACTTCTATAACAAGCTTCTCTCTGCAATACTGAATCATCTTCAACCTTTATCTGCAAAATCATAAACAAGAATCTCAATTACTTCCTTTCTGCAACAACAATTCGCAGCAGAACACAAAGAAATGGAGTTCGCAAAGTCGCACAGAAGGAAGGGGAAGAAGACATGTTTGCAGAAAATGAAGAGATCACGGTTCATTACCTAAAGAAACATGAGGATATCTGAAATTCCGATAATTCTGCAGACATCGAAGAATCACCAGAATCGCTCCGGTAGGTAAGTCGTTTTCTTCACTTTCCCACATTAATCGTTATACTGTTGTGTATCTTATGTACCTTCGGAAGAAAACCCTAAGCATATGGCTCGATTCAATGCACCGTCTCGGTTCTATTTCGGATTGTTCAGTTAGTTTTTGTTTGGGTTTGAACGATTGGTTTTAGACTTAATGCAAACAAATAAAGTTTTGAGAAGACGAGGCCAAAGCAGAGTTGTTTGTAGTGTTGGTCGGCGGTCTCAACGGAGAAGATGGATTGAAAGGTGAGTTTTGGTTGTGGTGTTGTTGAACAAGGAAGGATCTGGCCCTAGGGAGTTGAACGGACATAACTTGTTAAACCTAAAAGAAACTTTAGATACATTGTTTCCAGGTGTATGATTTGTTTTTATCCAGTAACTACCTTAGTGAATAAGTGATGATGGTGTTGGGCTGGACCTCACCCTAGACCGAAACGCCTTTGCTAAAGCCCATATTGTGTTTTGAGCCTAATGCTGAAATAAAGTTGGAAATGGACCGAACTTTTTCAAGCCCATAACACTGTTTTTAGAACCTACTGTCTTGTGAGTGCAAAAAAAAACAAGATAGATACAGAATGAGCCTAGCGCCTGTTTTCTAGCCCACACTCCCTAGATTCCAGTTTAAACTCCCCTGATCATCTTTTTGTTGTTGTTAGAATAGAATTTAATTTCTTTTTATATTTCTTATGTAAAAAACCCTAGGAGATTGTACAATATAATAGAAATTTTTAGGAATTAACTCTTTAGTTTTTTTTAGAAGTTTTACACATGAAAGCTAATAAAAAATACTTTTTCTCTTTTAGTTTTTATCCGCATCTTCGTGCCGCTTTGCCATGTTATATTTTGACGCGTTTGTTCCTATGCAAGGTACGTTTTAGTGCTTTCGATCATGTAACATATCGAGTTGTTATATGATCAAAGCATACGACTTATGCTCGCGTCTGATGCGACACACTTTATTTCTCATCATCCTGAGAAATTCATATTGTATTATGTGTTGTCCTGATGCATGTGATATTATATGACACTTTGTGCAAGAACGTCTGATTACGCGTTGCATTCGTAACACACATTTTCCTTTATCTTAGTTGGATATTATTTCTGACTTTGTTTGTTTCTTGGTGAAGCTTGCTCAACGCATACTCCCTGCTTCTCCATTGCTTTCGTCCTCTCTTGATAATTTTCTCGCTTTGGTAGTCATCGCTACTACCTTCGTACTTCTTCTCACTTTATTGCATTTCTTTACCGCTTTTCTAGATACCATGAGAAGTAGGAAATAAATAGCATGCGCTCGAAGTTATTGTTTTAAGACCTGTAGCAAGCATTGTGCACTTCATTTCTTATATGTGTTGTTGTGTTTGTTTCCTTGGTTGTTGATCGATAAGTCACTCAATTTAGGAATTGAGATCGCTACTTCGCTCTCAGTGCATGCTCCCTGTAGGATTTTATCGCTTTCCTTTATTTCTTGTTGATCGATGAGTCACTCGATTTAGAAATCGAGATCACGACTTCGCTCTCATTGCATGTTCCCTATAGGGTAATTTTGTTAGAATTTCTTCGGCATGCTAACTTAGATAGGATCTCTCTAGGTGTGCACTCTTGAGCTTATTAGCTTGTTTGACTTATCCTTGTGCATACCATGTTCCCTTAGGACGTGCTTGCTCCATTCGGATGCGAGTTAGACCTTAGGCTGCAAACCATGCATGCTAACATTAGGTAGAAATTTTCCCTTTCATCCTTGACGTAGGGCTACCATTGTATGATAACATTAGGATTAGAAATAGGCTGGTCTCCTTTAGACTCTTTTCTTCCCCTTTTGCATCCTTGCATTCAAAACTAAAACCTTTTCTTTAGCAAATCATAAAACATGCTAATCTCACTTAAACCCTTTTTCAAGGTAACAAAATACAAACCAACTCAAACCTTTTTGTGCGCCCAAGCACCTTTTCTCTAAAACCCTTTTCAGGTAAGGACATGATTAATTCACTTCTGTGCCAATGCATAAGATTCCAAAGGTCGAGCTATGGCAGAAGGCGGAATTAACGTTCTCCATAAAAAACACAAAACAAGCAAAAACATGTGAGCCGAACTACGGTAGCTCTAATTCCTTAAAAAGGATATGTAGGCATTGGGGTAGGGCCCAAGCGAGTACAATTTTATTTTCCTTACATTCTTTTCTCTTTTCTTTTGCATGCATTCTCCCTTTAGCAGTAATAAACAGTAAGCAAAGATTAAACACACCCATAAGATAGATAACAATAGTGGATACCATAAAGTACTATGGGCGTGTGGGGTGCTAATACCTTCCCCTCGCGTAACAGACTTCCTTACCCGATCTCTCAGTCGTAAGACCATGACTTCTCCCTTCTCAGGTTTTCTCGATGTTTACCTTTCCCCTCGTATGGGATAAAAGACATTTGATGGTGACTTTATTGTTTGATGATTTTCAGCCGGTTTAGGCATTAGGGTTTCCTCTTTCTTTCAGTTGGTTTGGTTCCAAGTCAAGGTTTTATACTCAAGGTCATCTGGTGAATCTACAAAGACTTAGATATATGTCATCTAAAGTTATTCTCCTAAATTTTCGCTATCTTCCTTGAACACGTGAAATGCTCATTGTTGTTTGCAATACAAGTTATCCTAAGATATCATCCAAGAGACCATAAGCTAGAGCATGGAGAGTCTACAAACATCATCTTCTTGTGCTCATCATTGTCACTTTATTAAGTTTTATTTCCCCAATTAAGTGTTATTCAATAAGAGTTTTGGTGAAACTTGTTCATTAGTGAATCATGTTATTCAAGAGGATCTCAATCGTTGCTTGACTTACAAGTTATGCGCAAGATTTGATATATGTGGCAAGCTATAGTCTCACATGGTTTAGGGCTTCATGTAAGATGTAAGAAACTCTTGGTGTATTAGTGGACTATTCAAGGTTGGAAGATACACTATGAAAATTTGACCTTTGACCAACTTTCTCAAATCTTTTGGTGGCTTTTTATCTTATATGGCACTTAGTCAAAGTTTACAAGGCATTGAGAGTACAAATGGATGCATTAGAAGAAAGTGATTCAAACTTGATTCTTTACCAAACCCATCACCATTTAAAGTGTTACAACATATATTCATTACAAAAAATCCAAGTGCATTACAAGAGGCTACAAAGAAAATTACAAGTTTTTGAGATAAGTTGAATTTCGATCAACATTGGATCATTAATTAATGACACCACCCTCAACTCTGATTCTTAAAAAGGCCTTCCCTAAACCTATTCTCCAGAATTCTGAACACCCTTTATTTTATGCTTTTTACTCCAAGATGTCTTCATGACTTCCATAATGCAAGATCCTTCCTTCATAGGTGGTTCGCAAACCTGCACAATTATCAAGCTCACATCAGTACAACACTAAAAGAAAACCTGCATAGACGACCATTTTCCAAACAAGTTCAGTATCTATATATAATCAAGCCAATTCAATTTGAAGTACAAAAATAAGCACATACCTACAATTACATCAAGTGTCTTGTACCTAAACCAAACCAGTTTATCACACTCATAACACCTACACTACACTCATGATTAAATTGACCACACACAACCCTATACGCTTCAGGTTTTCAGTCTAGTTATGCTGACTTTACCTAAATACCACAACATAAACAAATTTCACTCCTATTTTTACTATGCCCTGTAACAACAAAAAATACCAGGACATTCACTTCAAACTAGAACATAAACAAAACTCAGAACAGGTCCACTTCATGTCATGACCAAATGTAAGTGTTCATACCAGCCACCAATTATCAGAGCTGCGTTATTCAATAACTAAAAACCTGAAAAATAAGAGATCAATCGAAGGCAAGGTTGTAGGAAATCATAAATCCGTAAATCAGAATTTCCTAATCGCTCTAACTAAAACTAACTTCCAACAGTCCATAACTAATTTTTAGCTCAAGCTAAGCCTATTCTAACAAATAATTCCAATTAACAGTTTCAGAATTAACATTTCAAGTTCTCTAACCAATCTCCTAACAACCTAGTACTAACTTAATCACTAAATAACAGGGTTATATAACTAACTCTAATAGTTTTTAATTCCACAAATTAAACTAAACATTCTAACAGAAAAAACCAATAACAACTAACATCTAACCGATTTCCAACTGAATTTCTTAAGCCAACTCATTCACTAAGAGGTCATAACAAAATATAACAAACTCTCTAACATCTTCCCAAAATCCCATCTAACCCCCCATCTCATAACCGAATTATGAGATCCAATGGCTCAGATATATTTGCTTCTAACAAAGTCCAACATCATATAACAAAATTTCACACGCACAAGCAAGAGATTTGCCCTCTCTCTCAACTTTCACCATCTTTCCACCCTTCTCCTCCTCCGAACCTCCATCTCCAATCCATTATCACACACCTTCAACCAACACCTCCTTCATTCTCCAAAAAACTCACCATTGAATCATGACTCTCAAATTTCTGAAGAATCACCACTAAAAAAATATCTGAAAATTCTCTCTTTCTCTCTATGCTTCAATCTGTAACATTCTTCACCAATTCTCGCCGCTTCCTCTTACACTCATTCTTCATCATCTTCAACCTTATAAACCATCTACCTAAAACCTCTATTTAACTTCTGCTTGATGTTGCAACTTCCGCTCCTCCATGAGTCATAATCCATGGCCTCCTCTACATCAATCTCCGCAATCTCAGATTCAGCGCTCCCTAATTCATCTTCTCTGAACAACAATTGCTTTAATCAGTAACAACTTGATCTTTCATCGCTGCAAAACCAATTCGCCAACAATAACTCAAAACAGCACATAAAGAATAGAAAATGAGAAGAAGAAGGAAGAAGAGTAGTGAATGAAAAACATGCATATCTGGAGTAATATGAAGCGCATACCTGAAGTCTTCGAACTTTGTTGATCATCTCCATCCTCGGCTTCTATTCCAACAGTGTTGGTAATATTTGAGATCCTTCAATCTTCTCTTCTTCGTGTCTGAAGCGGATAGTCACACCTTATATCTCGCGAAGGAGAACCTCGTTGATTGCCTTTGATTATATTGCATCATCACCGTATAATTTGAGATTTCAACCTAGAATTTGGTGAAATCTAGCACCGACTCCGGGTTTAGGGATTGAAATAGGGCTAGGTTGGTGTTTATCTGTCGGTGATTGGGGAAGATTCCACGCTGATCGGCGCTGAGAGACACGAGTATGGCAACAACAGAGAGAAAGAGAAGGATGAGAGTGAGGATCGGGTTCTCAAGAGAAGACCAAGAGTCACTCTCTCAACCTAATGTAAAACTACATGGTTTTACATCTTTCTTGTTAATTCATTATTTTATTTTATTATTCTTTCTTTCCTCTAAATTGTTGTTAATAATAACCATAATGATGCTGGAAATATGAAATTAGTGATGATTGGAGTGGGCTGGACCGAGTCACTCCATCCTTAGACCCATCACTATATTTTCTGAAAGTTGAAACTTGATTTGACAAAAAATTTGCTTCATGGACTAATCGTGTTGGGCCTAGCGTCAAAATTTATTTGTACCACTGGATTCCAATCCACATACCCCCCTCTGTTTAGAGTTTGTTTAGATTTTTCTTTAATCTTCTTTTCTTAATTTCTAGATAATAATATTAGGAATAAAAATTGATGATAAAAATTGCAAAAATCAATAAAAACTTTTTAGATCTTAGTTGATTTTAGGAATTAATTCTTTAGTTTTTGATAGAATTTTCCTCATATAAAATAACTAATATTTTAGTGCATTTTTTACACTTCTTAGTGCATAATTTTAATGTTATAATTATCATTTGATACATGCTTGCTTGTTGCATTTGATTTGTTAATTGTCAGATTAATTCTCACATGGTTTTCATACCGTTTTACCTTATTGCTTTTGACGCGTTTGTTCATTGTGCAAGGTACATTTTTGTGCTTTTGATCATGTAACATAATGATTGTCATGTGATTGAAGCATACGGCTTATGCTCGCTTTCGATGCGAAACACCTTATTTCTCATTTTCATGAGAAATTCATATTACATTATATGTTGTCCTGATGCATGTGATATTTTGTGATACTTTGTGCAAGAACTTCTGATTACGCGTTGCATTCACAACACGCGTGTGTTTTTATCTTAGTTGGATATCGTTTCTGACTTTGTTTATTTCTTGGTGAAGCTTTCTCGATGCGTACTCCTTGTTTCTCCATTTCTTTTGCCTGCTTTTGATGATCCGCTTGTTTTTTGGTAGTCTCCGCTACTGCTTTTACATTTTTCCGCACTTTATTGCATTTCTTTACCGCTTTCTAGATAGCATGAGAAGTAGGAAATAAAGAGCGTGCACTCAAACTCGTTATTTAAAGACCTGTAGCAGGCATTCCGCACTTGTTTGTTAATTGTGCTTGTGTTTGCTTTCATCTTTTGATGGCTGATGATGTCACTCAATTAGCATTGAGATAACAAATTTAGCTTTTGCATACTCCCCGTAGGATTTCAATGCTTTCTTTGTTGATGATCGGTGATGTCACTCAATTAGAATTGAGATAATGACTTCGATATTTGCATGCTCCCTTAGGGATTTATCTCTTTCCTTTGTTAATGATTGATGATGTCACTCAATTAGAATTGAGATAACAACTTTAATCTTTGCATGTTCCCTATAGGATAGTTATCCTCACCCCTAGGTTTTAGGCATGCTAGGATAGTTATCCTTACCCCCTAAGTTGTAGGAATGCTAACATAGGTATACATTTCCCTTAGCATTTTCTTTCTCTTTTGCATGTGCATTTAAAACTAAAATTTTCTTTTTCTTGGCAAATCATAAAACATGCTAATCACACTTAATCCCTTTTTCAAGGTAAAAAAACATAAACCAATCAAACGTGACATCTTGCCTTAAGGGCGTAACTCAAAACCGTTTTCACAAGGGTTCGTCACCCATAAAAAACATAAAACAAACATAAACATGTGAGTCGAACTACGAAACCCTGATTCCTTGAAAGGGATACGTAGGCAACAGGCCGCAGGGCCTAACCAAGAAAAATTCGTAAATACTTCCTTCTATTCCCCGCATTTCTTTTGCATGCATTCTTCCTCAGTAGTAAGCAGTAGACATATATTTTTACACACCCATCAGATAGATAACAAGAGTGGATATCATAGAGTACTACGGGCGTGTGTGGGTGCTAATACCTTCCCATCGCGTAACAGACTCCCTTACCCAATCTCTCGGTCGCAAGACCGTGACTTCTCCCTTCTCAGGTTTTCTCAATGTTCCCCTTTCCCTGATGGTGAGATGAAAGACTTTCGGTGGCGACTTCATTGTTTGATGATTTTCATCCGATTCTTTCAGCTGGCGACTTCACTTGGGACATATCGACCAATTGCTGGTCCATCCTGGAGTCGCTCCTATCTCTTGTTGTCTTTTTTTTTGTGTTTATTTTTATGCTTTCAGTTTATTCATTTGTACATGATTATATGAGCATATGTTTGCATTGCATCTTTATTATTTTCCATATACTGGTGTTGTGCTGAATTATGTGTTTCCTTGTTGGATGGGTGTTACTACGAGGTAAAAGACCCAATACCCAGGCCAATTGACAAATAATAGGAACATTAGGAATAGAGTGGAACACGACAGATAGGGGATGTAAATTACCCTAGACGGTTATGTTGTCCATGCTCATATGAGGTTTTAATGAGGTGTTATCATTAGCACATAGGTGTATGATGATAGTACTCTAAAGTGAACCCGTGATTTTGAGTTATCATTGGCTTACCTTGACCTAGTCTTTACCCGTGAGTGAGGAGGGGATAATCTTTACAGGTACCATTGGTGAGTTGTTCTATTGGTGACCTGTTCTGTTGGTGACTTGTTCTGTCGATGACTATGCGGTCCTCAGATTTATCTTATGAGTTCTGAATCTGATGTTTATGGGGTTTTTTCGATTATGTTTCGAACCTGTAATCCTGGTACTAGCAGACTATGTAGAGACAATACAAAAGAAATCAGTATCATGGAAGTAGTAATCTCATGATAACTTGCACTTACATCATAGCATGTTTACTTTTTAAAAGAAATGTCAGAAAAATGAAATTGTATACTAATCTTGCATATGCGTGTCCATTCCGGGGTATCTCACGAAGTTATAGTTTTTGTCAGTAACATCTAGAAACACTGATGTTCCCAAGAGGACCAGAAGAGACAATTTTACTTATCAGTTTCGCCCAAGTTCTTGGCCTTATTTGAAGAGTTTGAAAGGTTTTTAGTCCATCCTAATGCAGAGGATTTCCGTGAAAGACGTGGTGGCATTTTGACTCTGATAGATGTTCGGGTTGATAATGAAGCTCTCTGGACTCTGCTTCAGTTTTACGACTATGAGTTTCACTGTTTCACCTTCCAGGACTATCAGATCGCTCCGACTTTGGAAGAGTACTCTCGTTTGCTTGATGTTAAAGTCATATAGCACATGTCGTTTGTTGCTGTTCCAAACGAACCCGATTTTGAAGTTGTTGCTAAGGTAATTTATTTGGGCCTTAGTGATGTGAAAGAGAGATGGAGAAAGAATAATAGTCTACCCTTGGACTTCTTGACCGGTAAAGCATAAGAAATGGCTAGAGATGGTACTTTGTGCGCGTTCAATGCTTTGTTAGTTGGTGTAGTCTATGGCATAATTTAACAAGGAGATTGAAAATCTCAAACAGCAGGTTGAAAGCAGTAATGGGAAGAAAACATCATGTCGCAAGCGAAGAGTATGCTAATTTGTTGACTCAATTCCGTAGTTTGGAGATCATGATGGTCAAGAGGGATGAGGTGATTCAAAGTATGGTTTTGAAGCCCAATGCAAAGGAGACAAAGCAGCTTGTGAAAGGGACTGTTGCCTGGATTTTGGAACACTAGGGGCACAGTCCGTTGCATTCTTTAGAGATAGGAGATTTATTATTATATTTCCTATCTTGTTGTTCCGATTACCACCAGGCTTGTTGGGAAGAATCACTTATCTTGTACTTTCGTAACTTTCTTGTATTGAACTCCGTTGGGATTTCTCCCGTTTCCGTTATTATATGAGAAATGTTTGTCATTTCTTATATGGTCGTTCTTATTATCATGTTGCTCGATTATTACTGAAGTTGATTAAGATGTGAAAACTTGGAATGGACAATCATTTCATGAATCATACATATCATGCATTTCATGAATTGTAGGTTTTCTGGACGAAATTATTATCTGTTGGTTTTGCCTCTTATTATCATAATCTACAAGACGATTTCCTTACATCCTTATCGCACTCGAGCCAACAAGCTGAGGATTATGGAGCAGATTAAGCATAACCAAGACGCACTCCTCAAAGACATGGGCACCATGGGTGATCGAATGAATCAACTCATGGAAATTCTTCATGCCTTCATCCAGGGGCAGGAAGAACTCAGGTTGAGTGTTACTAAGATGG